CCAGATAACTTTGGCCAGCCGCGCCCGGCGGGGCAAGCCGCTCCTGCGGCGCCAGCCGCGGAAGCGGCTCCAGCCGCAGAAGCGGCGCCAGCCGCAAAAGCGGCGCCGGCCGCGAGAGCGCGCATACGCGCGCCTAGGCCGCCACGGCCTGGTGAGGGCGATCCAACCGCAGGCGCCAGCAGCCATGACATCACCAGAGCCGACGGGGCTAATGGTGGCAACAGTGGCGCTGGCAGCTCTGACGATCACCGTAGACTGCCACAAGTTGCAGCAAGGCGCGGACGCATGGAGGGAGGAGATCCTCCACCACCGCCGCAGCCTCAAGCAGAGCCGAGGCCAAGGCCAAGGCTCCCTGATTGGACTCGCTTCGACGTTCAGCTCAGCCTCCAAAACCTGCGCAGCTTCGACCCAGCTGTAGTGCAGCGAGAACTCCGCAAACTCCACCTGAGATGGTTTCATGCCAAGGAGCCAAAAATGCGGATGATTCTAACCAAGGTTGGTCTGGGTGAAACCCGTTTGAGTCTGATCAAAGGCATTTGTGACTCGTGTAGAGAATGTCGAGCCTGGGACAAACCAGGCAACACGGTGATGCCTTCTGTGTCACTGCCAGGACGTTTCAACGAGGAAGTCGAATGTGATCTTTTCTTTTACAAACAGGAACATATTGTTTTTCACATCATCGACCGTTGTATTCGCTGGGCAGCTGGCACAGAGATTCCTGATAAAGCCATGCATACTGTTCTCGATGCCTATCATACGACTTGGATGCAACATGGCCCTGCTAAAATCTTATACTCCGATGGGGAAGGAGCACTGAATAATGATACAGCAAAGGCCATCCTTAAGGCTAAGGGAACAGAGCTTCGTATTCGAGCGCGTGGCCAACACGCTACAACTATCGAAGCTAGGAACGGCATCCTGCGACACCTCTTACACGTGATGGGAGAAGAATTGAATAGATTAAATATTCCTCTCAATTTCACTCGTCTCTTACATGAAGCCTTGTTTGCCAGCAACGCATTTACCTTCTACAATGAAGTGTCTCCGTACAATGCGCTGTATGGCAGACAACCAGCTATGCTTCCCGATTTCCCTGTCTTGGATCATGATCAGTCCGCTGAATCATCAGATCACTCAAGGGAGGAAACAATCAGGAGGGTTAGTCTGGAGGCAATCACGCAGGCCACTGCGGTTGCCAAGACGAACAGGGCTCTCCGTACGAAGACTACTGCTACGGGTGAATTTCACTACAAAGAGGGAGATCTCGTGGACTATCATCGCCCGACCACCACGAAAGACGACTGGGGTGGATGGAGTGGTCCATACCCGGTCATCCGCAACGAACCTGACCGAGGCCAGGTCATCGTGAAGGTCGGCAGTCGCGAAGTGCGAGTACAGTATCCTGACACACGACACACACTGTACATCGAAGCACTTATGGTCCGCGAGATAGGATCGGACAATACGGCCCTTCGGACAGTATTGGCCTTTATTGCCGGTCTGCCAGCGGGGAAACCCGCCATGACTTTCGGATATCTACCAGCGAAACAGGGTCGGCTGCAGATGACTGCTGCGAGCCGACTTTCGCCTAAGGTGCACTTGGCTCTTCAGTACCTCATACGCAACTACTTTCGTATTGAAAACGTTGTTGCTGTACGACTTGCCAAGAGCCTGACGAAGTTGCCTGCTGCACCCTATGCAGACAGCTGTACACTAGTGCACTATGATAATGATGTGACCCCTGGTTTTCATTACTATGAAGCTGATGGCACTGCCTTGAACATCTATGACATCACAGGATCTACACACTCACGCATCATCCAGTGTCTTAAATCCAGGAAGCCGTCTGCTGGATTTGACCAAGACCTCACTAAGTTTGAGGAACTCGCTGATGGTCCACCACCAAGCGAATCACCTCCAGCAGCTGCTCCTGAGGAGCCTCCTACGGATAACGATGGTCGGCTCCCGACCATCATAGAGGAAACAGAAGAAGATCTGGATGCTTTTGTCTTGAAGTCGTGGTATGCTGAACTGATGGATGACAGAACACTCCTTGAAGCTGACACAGAGGAAGTCATGCATACAGTTCCCACATACATGACAGACACACAGTGTGTGTTAGTCTCTACGACCTGTGAAGATGTGCAAGGCCACTTGCCGGAGCGGGGTCACCCGCCAGGATACGACATGGACACTTCTTACTACGTTCCTTTATGCTCCACGGATCCGGATAGCAAATATGATCTGGACTCCGATGAGCACGGGAAGTACATCGAGCTCTGCTTCACTGCAGACATGTCCAAAGTCGTCCTGTCCGAGCAGCAACACCGATTGTTGGATGACAGCAGCGTCACAACTATGCGAGTATACGTTAGCGCTGCCTCCAAACGTGCCGTGGTCGTCAAGGAAGACGATCTACTCACGAAGGCCGACATCCAAGCAAATCCGGTCAAAGTTTCCAAAGCCCTTTACACAGAATTGAAGACTTGGCTTGACAACAAATGCTTCCAGATGACTGACTTAAGCAAGGCGTCTAACATCATGACGTCACGCTACGTATACAAATGGAAGTTTGTCAAGAACGAAAAGGGCGAAATGGAAAGGACGATCAGGTTACGCTTGGTACTCCGTGGCTTCATGGACCTTGAAGCCTTTGATGTCGAAACCTTCTCTGGCACGGCAAGGAGGTCAAGCCAGAGACTGCTCGCAAGTTCTGCTGCATGCAACAAAGCTTGGATCATCGCTTCCCTGGACATCAACATGGCTTTCTTGAAGGGACTGACCTATGGCGAGCTCGCCGCGGCAACGGGCGAGAAAGAGCGCGTGGTGTGCTTCACACTACCACCTGGGTCAGCAGCTGTCCTTCGCACACTGCCAGGCTTTGAGTCATATGACGAATCAAAGCATTGTCTCCGGTGTCTGAAACCGGGGACGGGCACGAAGGATGCTCCCAGGGCATTCTCGCTGAAGCTCAGGTCCATCACTAGGAGCTTTGGGCTACAGCCTACTTCATACGACGAAGAGTTCGAGATGAGCCCAAACCTCTTGACAGCCAAGCACGTTGATGACATCAATATGACTGGGAAGGAAGAGGCTATTGACAAGTATGTCAAGTGTGTTGAAGATACGTTTGGGAAGTGCAAACTGAACAAGCACACATACACAAACTGTGCCGTTCGGTACAACAAGACCGATGATGGGAGCGTCACTCTTGATCAGGACGAATACATCAAACAGCTTCGTCCTATCACACATCCAGAACTCACAGGAGCTGATCCTGAGAGCAAAGCGACAAAGACGATTTCTGATATGTTCGTCAGTCTTCGTGGCGCTCTAGCCTATGCGTTGATCACGCAGGTATGGCTGATGGTCTATGTTGTCTCACTACAACGTATCCAGGAACCGACAAACATCCAGGTACGACGACTAAACGCGGTTACCAGAAAGCTACAGGCAGGTCCGAAGAAGATCGTGTATCAAGCTATGACCCCAACAGGAGAAGTCGACCTGCATAGCGATTCTGGCTATCGTCGTCTCAACGGAGATGAAGACGACGAAGTCAAAGGCTATGGTATCCGCGGGGCTAACCTGCTGAGGCGTGGCCACACGCAAGCGGGGAAACCCGTCGTGCACCTGGTGGACGCATACTGCAAGTCTCATCGACTGCAGGTGCGTTCGAGCTACTCTGCGGAAACACTGGCAGCAGCCCACAACTTGGAAGACTGCTACCCGACCATTGTAACGCTCCACGAGCTACACTCGGGACCATTGACCCCCACACAGTTAAAGAACATATTGGAAATGGGTGGTCTATGTATCAAAGTCACTCTGACTATTGATGCCGAGTCTGTCTTCAAGTCTTTGTCTAGCAAAGATCTGAAGAAGCCCACAGAATGTACTCTGCTTGGGCACATCAGCTGGATCCGCCAGATGATGGAACGCGGAATCGTGGAAAGCGTCCAATGGTGTGACACGCGGGATATGACTGCCGATGGTCATACCAAAGGTAGTATTGACCGCGCGTTGCTCCTACAAGTAATGGCCGGCCAGCAATCCTTCAAGCACGAGCTGAAGAAACATACGCCGTATAGGGCGGGCAGGTCGTCTCAGGACGGCCCTGCCTCCCGAGCCAGCGGGGAAACCCGCGGGCAGGTGCGCTTTAGTAGCGAGGAAACTCGCCGGTAGCGAGGTTACTCGCGCGCCCTTTCCTTGTAGGCAGCCGCTGCTGCTTAGCACTGTTTTTCCGCATAATGTAGAAGTGCGGTACCTGCTCGTCTCCTCCCCCTCCGACTTTAAACGGAGAAGGTTAAAGGCGAGGTATAAATCGAGCATGTACCGCTGCCGTGCCTGGCTCAAGCCGGGCCCGGCCAAGATATATGACTGTGCCTCACTGAGGCGCACGACTTGCATCAGAGATCGGAAAATACCTTTTCCATTGACGATGCCCATCCTATCCTTTACTCCAGATCCCATGCTTCGTCTCGCTCTCTTGCTCATGCGATATGAGCCAAAGCCTGGGATATGGCAACGCTTAAAGCGTAACACATACCTAAGCTTACCAGCTTGTTTTCGACTGGCGCAACGTCGGACACGAATGTGTGGACCTTCTCTGGAAGGCCTCTGGAAGCTTTCGAGGGGTGGGGGTGGCACAATGTACCCCCATACAGTGGTAACAGTCAACGTTTCGATCCTCTTATTCCTTCCCCGGAAAGATTTGGAATTGTCGGTAGGTTCCGTTGTGAGTTTGCAAGACGTTGCGGTACCTTCAGCCCTGAAGTGCCAGCTTGGTGCGCAGATTAGGCGCTAGATGCGCGGATTGGCAAGCCCTTGTCTTCTCTTTTCCCCCTCTTAACTCTTGCCATTGTCTTTTTGTCCCATGCTCCCGCTCCATATAATATTCTCCTCTGCCTTTCTTCATCCTCTCAGATCCTCTCCGTCTCCACCCTCAATACAGTTTCCAACGTCCCCCATTGCATGTTTGTCATTGGCAGAGCCCCCAGGCAGTGGTTCTGTACATGAAGGCTCCCACGGATTTGGTGTACATGCTCCTGCATGGCATATTGTGGCAAGACGCATGACTGTAGAAGCGACGCGCACTAACGCATGCAGGTGCATGCGACAAATTAGCCACGTGCCAGCGAGCACACTTTGCGTGGCGACCCTTCGGGCACCGCCCGAAAGGCCGTGACCTCTGACAGGTCTCGTCCTTCATGTCTTGAGCGGCTCTCATGGTGACTGTCATTGGCCCGCATTGGAGTTGTCTTGCGCTCCGGCGGGAAAGTCCAGTGGGAGCCAGACCAAGAAACACCCCGCTTGCCTCCAGGGTGCCCTGGGTTTCTTGGGTTCCCATGGTGTTGTCATGGACAGCGTGACGCCCCTATACCAAACATCAGTGGACGTCCTGGGGTTCCAGGGTTGGGTTTCTTGTGGAAGGTTTCTTGATGTCGAGCCTCTACTGTATTGAGGGTCCGTTGATGGGGATCTTGGCAGTCTGGGGCCCGGGCACCACTATGGACCTGGTTCAGGGGCTCTCTAAGCCGTCTGGGGGGATCTTTCGGGGGCGTCGTGGCACCGTGGGTTGCCTAGTCTAGATAGCAATTCGTCAACGCGCGCCCCCGCTCGCCCCAGATTTCAAGGTTGACGGGCAAGCAGCAGCCCCCCGCAAAAGTGGGCGTTTATTTCGCAACACTTCGCATGCCCTTCCAGCGCGGTCGTCGGCCAACATTGAGATGCGGGGTCTGGGGTGTTTTTTCGCGGCACTACTACTGGCGGGCGTTTATTTCGCAAACGGCGGTGTTGCATGGTTGCGGCTAATTGTGGGTTCTTTCGAGCCCTCGAAACGGCACATGGACAGATCTTCGACCGAAGAGCGTGGACAGCAGAAAATGTGTAATAACCAAAATGTGGCAACGCTTCATCTGTGTATTAGGCTCCTCGGAGGCCTCCAGACTAGCGGTCTGGGGTGTGTCTTGGGGCTTGTTCGAGGCCTCGTGGGACAGATTGGGCGTTTCTTAGAGGCTACTGGGTGCGTCCTGCGGCAATGTTGGGCCATCTTGGCGGCACTGGTGACCTGCCTCGGCCATTTGAGAAGCCTTTTGAAAGCGCAGGGGATCCCCAGGGAGGCGTCGGGCCGCCTGGGGAACTTCGGCAGCGAGGGACGTGTGCGGGGCAGTGTGACGACACAGGAGGGGGAGGTATGGCAGCCCTACCAGGCAGCATGTGGCCATCTACCACGCCTCGGCGTGCCAGGAGGCACGGTGGCGGAGATGCCCACATCCTTGCATGGACCGCCTCCTCCTTCCCTCCTCCTCCTTCTCTCCTCCTCCTCTTCCTCCTCCTCCTCCTCGTCCTCCTGTTCCTCCTCCTCTTCCTCCTCCTCCTCCTCGTCCTCCTCCTCTTCCTCCTCTGGCGATGCTGCTTCTTGCACAACAATGCCATCGCATGGCATGCGGCAGAGCCCGCCTCCGGGCCTGGGCGGTGGGCAAGGGGGCTTCTTCGGGGCGTCGTGTGGCCTCGTGGGAGGGCTCCTGCGGGCCTCTCGGGGGCCCGTTTGGGGCCTCTTGGGCGAACCCTGAAGTCTTGGAGGCGTTGGCGGGAGCCATCTCAGGGTGGAGGGCCCCAACGGCCCCTGTCGAGCTTCCTCTCTCGGATCTCTCCTGGGGTTCTTTCTGGGGCGCCCTCTTCTGGGCGTTGAGGACCGTCTTGTAGCGATCCTGGGGGCTTCTTGAACCGTTTTCGACGCTGTTCAATGACATTGCCCTTGGGCCATTTCCAAGGGCCTCGAACACGGCCAAAGAGAGCTCCAGGGCCCAGGGCGGCCCCGTGGAACCATCCTAGATCAAGTGGGAAGTTTGGGCTCCCAGCCACGCTACCAAGGCGTCTGAAAAAGTCACGACCAAATGCCCGAGGGCACCAACATAGTCCAGACATTCGAAGCCTGGACTCCTTAAGAAGAGCGTGCAACTCCCAGCGCAGGTAACTCAGAGGGACACGAAGTCACTCCTCTCAGTGCCTACGGCACGGTGATGGGTTACAAGCGCCAGGTAATCGCATGTTGAGCAGCCATGCGTATCGAATCATAACCGGGTTCTCCGTTCTACCAGCAAGAACATGTTGGTGAGTTTTGGCGCTGTCCGTGGCGAACACATTACAGCGTTGTTCTGTCTTGCACCGTCCGCAGAATTGTTGGGCAATCCGTCCACTAAGCCGCATGTCCCAACAAAGTGCCCCAATAGCTACCCGCGAAATTCTGACGCCAGACCCAGAAGTGCCATCACCATATGGAAGCTCTCCTAGAGAGGAGACTGCTGTGGTGTTTTTATTGCCCTTCGGGGTCACCGAGGTGAATAGACCAGCTAGTGGGCAGTTTTGGTTAAGGAGTGCCCCTCTTTCACGGGACCTTCTGTTCATGATTGGCCAGCTCATGTTGGTTACAAGCCCCAGGTCGCCAGCGCATACGTCGTCAGCTCGGATGTCACAGGATGGTGCGTATGTTCCTGCTCGCTCGCCGAAGCCGACAACGCAGCGAAAACAGGGCTCTTGCATAGCCACCAAGCGGTCGCCTTTGACTGTCGTAATCAGCTCAGCAGGGAAAGCACGTAGAGACATTCTTCTTGATACACGCGTGCATAATCACACAGTATGGCTCCGTGTTGCTGAACGCGCCGCGTGATGCTGTGTCGAACCAGCGTTTGCTGGTGCGCGCGACCGGTAACTACCCTGGCTTGCGCTGCACGTGTGCAGGACGATCGCCAGCTCTGACACGCACCCCGGACCCCATCGGGCGAGCACCTGACCTGTGCGTGCTTTGCCCTGCATGCGGACTGCTGGCGCGGCCGCAGGCGCGGACTCGGGCGCGGCCCGCGCGGGGAAGCTGCAGGAATGCTGCCCGGATGCCTGGTCTGTAGCTTCGTCTCTTCTGGGGCAACCGAGCGATGGTCAACGAAGCTCTCCCCCGTCATGGCGCCAACATCGCAAAGTGGATTACGTTCGGGAGGCGGTGTGATGGGCCCAGGTTGTCCCGGCGAACCTCGTGCTGGGTTGCGAAGCGAATTTCGTGCGGATCTTTTAAGCTAGGAATGAAGACTACAAAACATCCACGTGAAATCCAGTTCGTTTTTCGCTCGCTGTTTCGGGGTTTTGTATTGACCGAAATCCACGCAACAGTCCGCTGCAGCACGTCTGCAAGGTCGGTGCAGTGACCACCAGCCTTCCCTCGGTGCGGAGTGTGCTGCCGGATGCAGTCTAATTGGCCCGTGGCAGGTGTCGATTTCAATATGCAGCGAGAAGCGCTTCCAGGTGGCACCAGAGAGTGCGCCACTTAGGTTTTCTCATTGGTCTGCCAGCGTGCACGCCCATGGGCTGCCACAGCCCACGGCATGAGCGAGCGACGCTTGAGCAGAGCCGCGCGAGGCGCTGATCGGCACCTTCCTGGCCGCGGGGCTGGCGTGTGGCGGCTGCGTGGTGACGTGGCAGAAGCCGAGGTGGCGCGCGCTGGGGCGGAGGGGCGACGACACGATGACCATGACCAGGACAGGGTCCACTCCGATCGGATCGATCCGATTCGATCTGACTCCGACGATCCGATGTGGCCTGACGCTTTCATGTTGTTGTGCATTTTGGCGCGATCGATTCGATTCGATTGCGAAGGCCTTACGGCCAGTGCCGCCGACCCTGAAGACGACGACGACGACGACGACGACGACGACGACGACGACGACGGCGATGAAGGGCGAGGAGACGGAGGAGGAGGAGGAGGGGGAGGAGGAGGAGGAGGAGGCGGAGTAGCAACAAGAGGAGGAGGAGGAGGAGGAGGAGGCGGAGGAGGAGGAGGAGGAGGAGGAGGAGGAGCAGCAGGAGGAGAAGGCCTCTTGGGAGCCTCTTGGGGGCTTCTAAAGGCGTCTATGGGACCTCTTTGGGGCCTCTTGGGGCTCCTTGAGGACGTCTTGGACCGTTTTGAGGCGCTCGTATGCAGTCTGGCCCCTTGAGAGGCTATCTTGGAGGCCGCTCGCGGCCGCCTTGGAGCGCTTTTGGGGTCCTCTGAGGCCGTCTTGGGGGCCTCTTGGACCGTTTTGGGAGCCTCTTTTGGCTGTTTCGGGGCCCTCTTGGGCCGCCTTGGGGGCTTCTTGGGCGGTCTTGGGGCCTTCTTGGAGGCATCTTGGGCCACGAAGGTTTTCTGAAAGCCGAAAAGGGCGATAACACGAAAGGAAAATCAATGATTTTGGCCGTTGGAGGTGCTCTTGGGGTTCTCCTGAGGCCCTCCTGCGCCATCGTGGCTGCCTCGTGGGCACTCTTGGGGCCACCTTGGGCTGTATTGGGGTCATCCTGGGCCGTCTCGGGGCCATGTTGGGCCATCGTGAGGCGAGCTTGACGCCTTCTTGGAGGCCCAAGAGGCCCAAGAGGCCGAACTTGTTGATTTTCCATATGTTGCTGTAGGTTTTGCACCCCAGAATGAGGGCCGGGGGAAAACGAATCTGGGTGGCGACCCCTCCGGGACCCCCCCAGAACCCCGCTTTGGTGTCGATGATCGTCGCTTAGCGTCTGGGAGTCGATGAGATAGCGCCGATTTCGCGTCGGCTAGCGTCGATTCAGCGTCGATTAGCGTCGATTTGGCGTCGACTAGCGTCGATTCGCAGGAGCCGACAAGACGGTGTGGGAGGCTCCCATGAGCTGCCACCGAAACGGGGGGTCCGCTCCCCCCCTTCTCCATCCTCACAAGCACGTGGTGGCGCTCGGAGGGTGCTGTGGTGATCGGGCGCACACCGCGGTGGGTTACAGGCATGCTGCAGGGCTGCCGGGCCACCTGTGGTGCTCACAGGATGGTGGCGCTCGCAGGCACAGTGCTCGATGATCTTCAGGACGTGTGATAGCCCAAAGTGAGTTTTTCCTTTTCAGCTTCGCCGATAGCACCCAGTCTACGTCGACCCTCATTCCACTTCCTCCGTTGTATTGAAGGGCTTCGGTGGACAAGCAACCGTTGGCGCTAACACACGTTCTGAGGATCATCGAACTGCGGTGTTCACATGCGTGTTGTGGAGTTCGCAGCTTACGCGTTGCTCACAGGCTTAATGCCTGCATGCGCAGGCACATTGCGGCGATCTCACGGCATCGTGGCACTGGCAGGATCCAGCATGCGGGTGGCAACGGCATGCGTTGTCGTCTGCAGGCGATTGTGGTATTTGCTCCGTCTGGCTTTCATCGCCGTCTTGCGGTCGCAGCTGACGTGGGCAGGATGGTGATATGTGGTGTGCGCATGCACGCGGGGTGGCGCAATCATGCGGCACGCCGCGACGTTGGCAAGCTCTCGTGGCGTTCACGCGCGTGTTGTGGCGTTTTGCAGATTTTCGGGCCCTTGGCCAGGATCTAGAAAATTGTTGTGCATACGTGTGTTGCTGTTCCGCCACTGTCTTGCTCGTATGCACTGTGTTTGTGCTCGCGGGCCATCGTGTTGCTCCATGGCATGGTGTGGAGCCCGCAGACTACTGTGTCAGCGGCACGACCCGGCCTACTGGTGTGCGTGCGTGTGTTGCTGCTGTTCCGTGCATTTTGTTGCACCCTTGCGGCGCTCTGGCCTCCTCGGGAGACCTCGGACGACCACCTCTCCTGCACCCTGGCAGGGACGTGCCGCGCCGCTGATGACGACGAGGACTCCGACGACGGCGATGCTGTCGATACCGACGGCGACGACGACGAGGGCCTGGACCACCCCGGCGACGACGACACAGATCCACCCGACGCCACCGGTGGCCACGGCGGCGACGACGACCCCCGACGACCCCGACACCGACGACGACGACAACGACGACGACGACGACAACGACGACGACGACGACGCGACGACGACGACAGCGACGACGACGACGACAACGACGACGACGACGACGACAGCGACGACGACGACGACGACGCGACGACGACGACGACGACGACGACGACGACGACGACGCAACGACGACGACAGATGCGGCGGCCAGCGTCGCCAGGCACTGTTGCCCGAGCAGCCGCGGCGAGGACGGTGGCGCGCCGAAGCTGGGCCTGAAGGCCCTCGCGTGTCGCCGTCGGCGACGCCGTCGAGGATCGAGGAGCAAGGATCCTGGATCGAGGAGCGAGGATCTTGGATCGACTATCGAGGAGCGAGGATCTTGGATCGAGGATCGAGGATCTTGGATCCTGGATCGAGGAGCGAGGATCTTGGATCGAGGATCGCGGAGCGTGCAGCAAGGATCGAGGGTCGGCACGGCGCGAGCCGGTCTCTGGGCCTCACGGGGCTCCCGGGAGCCTCCGCGGGCCCCCGGAGGCACGGGTGGCCCCATGAGGCATCTGGGCCCGGGGGCGTTTCTTCAAGCAGTGGCGAAGCGTCCTGGCTCGCCTATAGCCCCACCAAACAATGTTCTAAGAACCTTTTGCGGTTCCCACGAAATGTTCTTAGAACATTTCTGGCTGGGATTGTTTTGTTTCAACACATCGGGTTCATGTTCTAAGAAAATTGTTGTTGTTCTTAGAACATTGTTGGGTTCTAGGAGCATGTCGTGGTAGGACTATAGGAATGCCGGGACGGTCGGTCCCTCCTCAATTTTGGGGCCGTCTTCGCGGCTGTGAGTGGCTCGCACTTTTCCGCTGATGTGATTCGCCCGCTCCTCAGGGTACAGCCTCAAGCTGAGAGGTCTCGCAGCGTTTCTGTCAATATGTGCGGCGGCCAGTGCTTCGCTTGAATCTGGACCCCTCGAGCTGGAAAGGAAAAAGGGTTGTCTTCGCCAGCATTGTCGCTCGCTGTCGTCCTCATTCGTCGTCGTCGTCGTTGCCGTCGATGCCGTCGTCGTCATCGTCGTCGCCCTTTTCAACCTTCTCTCTGATCTTGGTGATGCTGCATCTGTTCCTTCTCATCATCGTCACTTCTCCTCCACCTCGTACCTTCCTCCTCTTCACCTCCTCCTCCTCCTCTTCCTTATGAGGAGATTGTACTTTCAAGGACAGAAGTTCTGACGGTGACGGGATGAAGGAGAAGGAGCAGGAGGACCATAGTAGACCCAAGATGCATCAGCGATGTTGCAATATACCCTCCCGTCCCAAGTCCCCTCCCCATACCTCCCTGCAAGCTTCCCTTTTCACTACAAGAAGCACCCCCCTTGAACGACCACCGCCTTATGACCTTCCAAGTTTGGCGAGGGCCCCGCGTTGAGATGAAACCGTGCTGCATCCTCACGGCGCGCAATCAGGAGCGTAAGACACCATGGCTACACAGATCCTCGAGATCTCCAGCGAGGCCCCCTTGCCAAGACAACATCGCACCCCACTCTCCGTGCAACCGCTGCACAAGCTTGCACGTGTGGCCGTAGACTTCGAGGGAGTCTCGAGCGAACGCCCCCTTGTTTGAAGAGGAGCAGCCCTCGTTCGGTGCAGCTTTCTGCGGGTGTCACGTCCTGAGGCCTCGGGCTTTCAGAGTCCGAGGGAGTCCCCGGCGAGAGCCCCGCTTCGAGAAAGAGCCGTCCTCTTTCGGGATGTCAGTGTCCGGGACGTCCCACGCGAGAGCCCCGTTTTGAGAACGAGCCGCCCTCCGTCCTCCGAAGGGTGGCTCGTCCTCAGAACGGGGCTCTTTTCTCTCTCAATCGCTGCAGCTGTTGCCGAGTTCCACGACGAGCGTGCGCGGCGCAAGAGGCGAGGCCACCAGTTTGGCACCAGCTCCCCCCCATTCCTTGAAGCTGATGCACTTCTGGTGCCCATGTGCGCGGCGCGAGGGTGAGGTCCGCACTTTGAAAGGGAACCGCCCTCCACCCCTGCAGGCGTTGCAAACTTTGAGGACCAAGGTGCACACCGATGAGGCGAAAGCTCTTTTTGAAACGGCCCGCCCTCTTTCCTCGAAGCTGCTCCGAGCCTCAAGCGTCAGGATGATGGCCACCCATGGCGAGGCAGGTGGCAGGCGCAAGGCCCCGCCCTGCCCTGACCGACGCGCCTGGGGGTGCGGCAGGGAGGGCCGGTGCTGTGGGTGTCTTGTAAGAAAGAAGCACGGGCTGACGAGGACGAGGAGGCTCCCATGGGGGAGAGGGGGAGGAGGAGGACGGGCAAGCGTAGATATAGGAGGAGGTGGAGGAGAAGGAAGGGGAGATGGAGGATGAGGACGGCGGCGGCGACGAGAAGGACGGTATGACGAGGTGCTCGATAAGAAGGGCGAAGACCAGGAGGTTGAGAGGGATACGGGGACCCATATGCGATGTTGGCCCAGGAATGCAATGATGAGGATGGTGATGATGATGCTGATGCTGCTGATGCTGATGGTGCCGATTGTGATGATGCTGATGTTGCTGCTGACGAATATGATGCTGCTGATGATTATGATGATGGTGATGATGATGCTGCTGCTGATGACGATGATGGTGGCGGTAGTGGTGGTGGTTGTGATGACGATGATGGTGATGATGATGATTATCATTAGTATGATGGTAGTGGTGGTTGTGATGATGGTGATGATGGTGGTGATGAGGCTACTGCTGCTGATGATGAATATGCTGCTGATGATGATGCTGCTGCTGATGATGATGATGATGATGATGGTGATGATGATGATGATGATGATGATGATGATGATGATGATGATGACGATGATGATGATGATGATGATGATGATGATGATGATGATGATGATGATGATGATGATGATGATGATGACGATGATAGGCATGAAGCGGAGGGGGAGGATTAAGACGATACTGATTCTCGATGGGGGGCAGACTTAGAGACTAAGACGAGCAATCAGAGCAGGGGCATCAGGGACGAGGAGCAGGAGGAGGAGGACTTGCAGACTATGGACAAGGAGGAGGTGGCCGAGGAGATTAAGTAGGAGGGTCAGGTCGAACAAGCTTGAGGAGGAGAAGGAGGTGCGTGCATGAGGGGGAGCAGGAGCAGCAGGAGTAGGGTAAAGAGGACGATGACGAGAAAACGCGATGAGGAGGAGGAGGAGGAGGAGGAGGAGGAGGAGGAGGAGGAGGAGGAGGAGGAGGACGAGTCAGGAGCATGCAGCATGCAGCAGGACGAAGAGGGAGTTGGTGGTGCAGAGGCAGCACGAGCCAGAGATCAATTGAGAGATCTCGGCGCGCGGGTTTTATGAACTGGGGATATCGGGGTAATGCTCGCTCAGCGCAGCACAGCCCAAACCTCCTTGGGGACACTTGTCCGACCTCTGCGGGTCGTCCAGAACCAAGGCTGACCAACCTCTCCGAAATTGGGGCTCGCTGGCGGCGTCTTCCCCTTACCCTCTCAAGCAGAATATGGAGGAGAGTTGCCTCCAGGACCGAGGTTCGCTGATCGAGGTTTTTGAACGGGATTTACCTTTTGGGACCTCTGGGGACATCTAGAGACATCTGGAAGTACCTTTCAGCTCCTTCGTGAACACCACAGCGGTGCTCAGTGACAGAACCGATGGTATTGGAATGGTGAATAGCATAGCCCATGGCGGTGCGAGCATCTCTGGATTCACACTCCCCTGCCTCTGCAGGTCTGTCCAGTACCAGGACCAGCCAGCGCCACCGTGTTGGGATGCGTCAGTCGCCCTTTTCCTTCTCATCCTCTCCCCCCCAAGCAAAGGATCTTTGACGAGGGTGGCCCTCCTGACCCATATGACAACTTCCGAATACCACTGTTAACTTCCGAGTAACAGCAGGACGCCGCAGAAAACCTCGGAACATGTTCTACTGCTCTTCCTTGCTATTGCTCCTCCTTCGCCTCCTCCTTCGCTTCCTCCTCCTCCTCCTCCTCCTCGCCACCCCTTTCAACATCGGCCCACAGACCTCTCGTGGGGCGCGTCTGACCTCCTCCTAGCCTTACGTCGGGCATGCCCCTCTACAGCAGGAATTTGTTTAATGCTAAATGAAGTAGTTTGTGGACGATTCTTGGACTATTTTTTTGTCATGTGTCAGCATTTCTTGTCTACCTTCATCTTTCGCGAAAAATCCGCCTGTAGGAGGACATGCCCGACCTACGTAATCCCAGTCACCCCTTCTCAACATCGGCCCACAGACACCTCCCGGGGCGCGCTCTGACCAAGCCTTCGATGCGAAGCCAGTCGTGGCGACGGGGGCCCCCATAGAGGAGGCGCGCAGGAAATCACCCCCCGTCCTCTATCGGGCCCCTCCCTCCTCATTCCTCCCCTCCTGCCTCATCATCCCTCCTCCGCCCTCCTCTACCCTCCTTGCACTCTCCTCCACCCCCCTCCACCCTCCTCCTCCCCCCTTCCTCCTCCTGCTCCTCCTCCTCCTCCTCCTCCTCATCATCATCACCCTTCTTCTCCCCCCTCTCCGACCCCGCTCGCCTCCTCCCCCTCCTCCTCCCCCCCTCCTCGTGAAGACGACGATCTCGACGACCGAGGTTGAAGACGACGACGGCGACGACGACGACAACGACGGCGACGGCGACGACGACGACGACACGATGACGACGGCGACGACGACGACGACGGCGACGGCGACGGCGACGGCGACGGACGGCGGCGGCGGCGACGGCGGCGGCGACGGCGACACCTCGGGCCGCCCCCGCCTCGGGGTGTCGCCGCCCGCCGCGACGCCGCCGCGGAGGCGCGCCGCCCGCCTGGTGCCGCCGCGCGGCCGCCACCCGTCGACGGCGCGGACGGCGAGGCGACCATCCGCCCCGACCGAGGCGAGGACGTCGTTGGTGTCGTCCTCCCCTCCTGGATGGATCCCGGACGGCGGAAGCCAAGGCGGCCCAAGAGACCCCCCAAGACGGCTCCAAGCGGCCCCAAGAAGGCCCTCAGAAGGCGTGGAGAGGCCCCGGCCGAGGCGAGGAGGTCGTCGGCGACGTCGTCGTCGTTGGCGTCGTCCTTCCCTCCTTGCCATGCCCCTCCTCCTCCTCCTGAGCCCTGAAGGCAGCAAGGTCTGTCGGACGCTGCCCCCCCTTCCCCTCAGGGCCGGTCGGCCATGGGGGGGGCTGATTAAACTAGTAAGCCAGGTGAGCCAGGTGACTTATGTCACCGGCTGGGTGGAGAGCAGCTGTAAAAGGTAGCGGCAGCAGACGCGGGACGCGGAGAGAGGAGATCTAAACCTCCAGGGGGAGAAGAGGTGGGGGCAGTAGCATTGACGTTAGGCGCCAGGCGAGGACCTTCTCGCTTGTGGCGGCGTCCCGTGTTGTGAAAGAGCGTGCTCTACCGCTGCTGGCGCAAAACCGGGGGGGGTCACTACCGGTTCGAACCCGCCCCCCCCCCCCTCCGGAAAACCGGGGGGGGACACTACCGGTTCGAACCCCTCCCCCCCGCAGTCTATCATGAAAAGGGGGGGGGGTACTACCGGTTCGAACCCCCCCCCCTACCGGTTCGAACCCCCCACCCCCCCCTTCCCCCCCCTCGAAAACCAGGGGGGGTGCGGACAGTGGTGAGGACGGTAATAGTGGGGACAGTGGTGAGGGGACAGCGGGACAGAGGTGGGGACGGTAGTGGTGGGGACAGTGGTGAGGACAATGGTGGGAACAGTGGGGACAGTGGGACAGTGGTGGGGACGGTGGTGGTGGGGACAGTGGTGTGGGGGCAGTGGGAATGTGGTGGAAACAGTGGGACAGTGGAGGGTACAGTGGTGGTGGGGACAGTGGTGAAGGTGGTGGCGAGGACGGCGGTGGGACAATGGGACAGAGGTACAGAGGGGATAGTGGTGGCGACAGTGGAGACAGTGGTGGGAACAGGGGGACAGCTAAGTGGGATAGCGGAGGAGTCAGTGGGACAGTGGGGACAGTCGGGATAGTCGGGCAGTGGTTGGGGACGTGGAGAAAGTGGGGAGAGTGGAACAGTGGTGGGAACAGTGGTGGGGACAGTGGGGACAGTGCGACAATGGTGGGGGCACTGGTGGGGACAGTAGGGACGGTGGTGGAACCAGTGGGGACAGTGGTGGTGAGAACAGTGGTGCTGGTAACAAGAGTAGGGGATGTGGTGCGGACGGTGGTAGGGACCGGGAGTCGTTTGCTGGCGGTGAGGGGGGGGGGAGGGGTTCGAACCGGTTGTGACCCCCCTCTGGTTTTCGAGGGGGGGGGGTTCGAACCGGTAGTGAACCCCCCCCGGTTTTCCAGAGGGAGGGGGAGGGGGGTTGGGGGAGGGCGGGGTTTTGCCGGAGGAAGGGAGGGGGGAGGGTCCAGCAGGGGGGCGGGGGGGTCGGAGGGAGGGGGGGGGGACCCCGGCTCCTGAGGAAAAGGAGGGGGAATTTTCCACAGTAAAGCGGCGGTGGATCACGCTCTCTCCACGTTGTAGCACCAACCCCACCACCCCATAATACCCCATCCCATCCTATAGGTGGCGGCTACGAGGCTGCGTCTTGGGCGTCTTGGAGCGATCTTTCGGCGACTTGTCGCCCTCTTGGACCGTCCGGGTGGCCTTTTGGGGCCCTCTTGGCCCGTTTTGGGGCCCCCTGAGGCTCCAAGGGTGCGGCCGACACCTTTGCCCCCCCCCCCCCCCCCCCCCTCCAAACCGGCCGGAGCGGGCTCCCGGGGGAGGGGTTTGGGGAGGGGGAAGCGTCTCACACGCCGTGACCCCAAGGGGTCGGCGGATTCGTGAAGCCTTGAGGTGGCCCTGGGGGTCCTCGTAGAGCCATCATGGAGGAAATCGTTCGAACAAGGGGAGCGGCAAGGATTAGGTTTGTGATCGTTCTTTGATTCATTGTTTTACCGATCGGCGCGAGCCCTCGCCCCCCCCTTCCCCCTTCCCCATGGAGTAGATCTTTTGCTGTTTTGGCGCCTGTTTCGAGCTGGTGGGAACCCCCCCCCATGGGACGCACGGTTCCAAACAGTCGCACTAAGCAGAGGTCCGGAGCCAGACCCCCCCTCCCCCCCCCTTCCGCCCAATGTCGAAAAGTCGAATAAGGACAGCTCACCTAGCTCTTCTTGGTCTCAAAACGTCACCTCTTGGAACCATTCTGGGCCGCTCTTGGGGTCCTTTGGGGGCCGTCATGGAGCCATGTTGGGAGCATGTGGAGCTTATTGGGCCTTTCTTGGGGCCCTCTCGCAAGCCTGGGCGGCCCTCTCGGAAACAGTTTCGAGGATGTCGGTCGCAGAACCGGCGGTTCGCAATTCTTTCCCCCCACGTCAGGAGCTTTCAAAGTTACCTCTTGGAGCACTCTTGGAACTATCTTGGGACACTCTTGGGCCCCCCGTTGGGCCCTCTTGGAACCATCTCGGGGCTTCCAGAGCCCACTGCAAGTGAGAAGGCGAGAAGGCACACGTTATGTGTGCCAGTGTTTCGGAAGGAACTTTGCCTCCTGGGAGCCTCCTTCGGAAACTCCGCTACCGCTCGACCCGTTTGGGGGCGGTCTCGGGGCCGCTGGGATGTTAGTTGGAAGCTGTCTTGAGCTTGAGCGATGCTGGGCAATCATGTGCAATATTGGAGGCCACCTTGAGCTGTCGGGTGCCCTCTTGGAAGGAGTGCGGGGAGGGGTCAAGCTATATCCCTCCCCCCCCCCGCCCGCGGGACCGTCGTTTCGCTCATTCCCATCCCATCCCGCCCCCCCCCACACATAAGTGGCACCCGAGCCTCAGCACGGGGAGGGGCCGCCGTCGGCAACCATAAGGAACCAATCCATACGCAAGCCAGGTGAGCGACGCGCACGAGGTCCGCCGCGCGAGGTGGAGTACCCCCCCGCCATCCCCTGCCACACACCGGTGCGAAGTGATCGCGGGACGCCCGCGCACGGTCGAAGATGTTGCCACAGCGTGCGTTGTGCATTTCTATCGTGGCAGGGGTGGTGGGCCTGCGCACGTGGGGCAATCAGATGGCACCCGCCTCTTTCCTATGAAAGGCAGTGTAAAGAGATCGCGGGGAGCTCGAACAAGATCAGTTCATTGCCGCAAATATTGCGTCATCTCGTTCTTGACAGGGATGGGGGGGGGCGTCGGCACTGTCCCTCTGGTTTATCGCCAGTCGGGCGGAGGAGTGGATGTGTACCAAGAAGAACAAAAAGGTCAACCCCTCCTCGAAAGAGGAAGGACGTGGTTGGAAGAGGACGCGCTCTGGAGAACATCCGCCCAGAGGACTGGTGCGATTTCAGAGGGGTTGTGGCCTCGGGAGCGCGAGCATGTTGTAGTTTTCTAAGGCTGAAGGCCTCGGTTGCGCGAGAGCGTTGTGATTTACCATTGTTTTTTGCTCAGGGAGCGCACGTGCAATGTAATTTACGAGCGGTCGCGGCCTCAGGTGCGCGAGCGCGTTGTCATATCAGAGGGGTTGAAGCGTCGGGGGCGCGAGCGCGTCGTAATCTAACAAGCGTTCTGGCCTCGGGAGCGCGTTGAAATTCACAAGGGGCTGTGGCATTGGTTTCGCGAATTCGTGTCAATGTGCAACGGACTGGCCTCGGGAGCGCCAAAGCGCTGAGATGCACAACGGCTTGTGGCTTCGGGAGCGCGAGCGCGTTGGAAGTTATGCAGGGGCTGCGGCCCCAGGAAGGCGCGCGCATCGTTGTACTCTACGAGGGGCCGTCGCCCCGGAAGCCCACGTCCGTCGCACGGTACCGAGGGACCGTGGCCCCGGTGCTCGCATAGCTTTCTGCAGAGTGTCCCGGGGGGGGGGGGGAAGAGACTCTGGGGACGTGATTTCGCTAAGGTGATGCGTTTGTTTTCGGCCAGGGTGGTCGTGCGGTCTGCAGCTGCTTTTCAACCTTGGATCGGAGAGCAACGATCTCTCAGACTCGACACCCTGGAACATGGGAATGGCACTGGAACTGGTACTTCACCAGCAAAAAGAGTGCTGTGTGTAGGGGGCAGACACTTCGTCAGCGCAGCCTGGTTTGCCTTCAAGGGGGCCGGTCTTTCTCACCATGCCCACAAAACAGCTCTCAAAGAGAGTCCCACCTGACGTGTGCTCGCCGTGATTTGGGATGAAGGGGGCTCCTTGGTTGGATTAGTGTAAGTTCGGGCCTGTCGCTCCACAGGAGGAATATTCAAAAATAATCAAAACATTACATGGGGATGATTTTTGACTATTCTTGAGTATTTTAAAATGCTTTTGGGGCATTTTCAATTTTACATCAAAAATCCGCCTGTAGGGGGACACGCCCGACCTAAGATTAGTACGTTGGGCTGCACCTTTGGATCCGATCCTAACCCTCAGGGGGCCTCACACGTTCCCGGAGACAGGGACTGGCGGGTGGTCGCTGGCGCTCTGCTGGCGGCCGCGGGGGCGGCCGTGGCCGTTGAGCGGCTCTCGCGGCGCGCGCGCAGGAGACGCCGGCTGGCGGCGCGGTGTGACGCAAGGCGCGGGGCCCGGGTCCGCGTCGTGACTTTGGAGCCGCTGGGGGTCTGAGGTGGCCCAGCAGTGGTTCCGGCGAGCAGGAAGGGGGGAGGTTCTGAGCTCGAGAAGGTGTTTGCCTGATCGGCTTCCTGGAGCCTTGTGCGGCCCCCCGACCCGTCCAAAAGCGGATCTGGGGCGAGAAAAGTTGCGCTAGATGGGCCCCGGAGAAGGAAGAGGAGGAGGAGGAGGAGGAGGAGGAGGAGGAGGAGGAGGAGGAGGAGGAGGAGG